GAGCATTAGAAGCCGGATCATTTTAATAAAATTAAATGGTATATGTATATGATATGGTATATATGAATGATGTTATATGTGATAAAATATATGAAGTGTGTAAAATAGTATATCATTTGTTCCTCATATGGGATATATATATATATTTCGGCTTTATATATATATATATATATATATATATGTGTGTGTGTATATATGTATATATATATATGTGTGTGTATATATATATATATCTGTATGTGTCCTATTTTAATGTGTATGTATATTTATATTTAAGTATATTTCTGTTTGTATGAATGTGTTTATATATTTGTATGTTAGGCTATATATGTATATTGTTGTGTGTTGGTATTTGAATGTATATTTATGTATCTATATGTTAGTACGTTTATATATGTATTTGGTTGAGTGTTGTTGTATTTTTATGTATGCATGTATATATTGGTAGTTGTTATTGTAGATAGATATATTTATATATATGTTTATTTGTAGATATGTATATATGTGTGTATATATATATTTATGTATATTTTGTGTATATATATATGTGTGTGTTGATAACCTATTATGTATGAGTGTGTATGTGTGGGTATGGAAACTTTGGTATATCATGACTGTTTTTTTTATATATGTATATATGTGCATAGAAAAAAATCTGTGTATATATAATGTATTTAGGTTTATATGTATATGTGTGTGCATGTGTACTTTTTATCATAGATATGTATATGTGCGTATATGTTTATGTTTATATATTTATTTGTATGTATTTCTGTATGTATATGTATGTATGATGTATGTTTATGTGTGTTAATTTGTGTTTGGTACAGTTTATGTTATATATTTGACAACCCAACTGTCAGCCATTTTCGATGAGTCCCAATTATTGACGAAAAATGTATATATCTATTTTCCTGTTGAGGTTTATATCAGACTCAATGAATTTATTTATATGTTTATAAATATATACTTATTATATGTGTTTATCGTTTAAAAATATATTATTTCTAATTCCAGTTTTGGTGTAGGTATAAACTTGGCTATATATGGGGCACAGTCTTATGATTTATAGCGAACTCAGGAGAGTTCCGCCACGGAATATTGAGTGAGCGGCGCTATGTTGAGTCTGATATACAATAATCTTCGGTGTCGAGGCCCGGTATGTACAGTTGGTATGTTATGTTGACAACCCAATTCAAAATTTTCGATACCTGGTATGGATATGCTGATGAGTCCCAATAATAGGACGAAACGGCCGTCCAGACTTCCTCTTATTTTCCTGTTGAGGTTTATGTCAGACTCAATGAATTTATTTATATGTATATATATATGTATATGTGGGATTTTTTATCCTGTTTTTTTTTTCCAAAAATATATAATGAAACTATTATCAGTTTTTATATGATTAATATATATATTTTTATTGATATTTATGGTTTGGAATTTTCGTTTTAATATATTAAATAATATTATTTTTAACCATTTTTATCTTTGTATATTTGCTCCCTTAAGTTTATAATTTAATAAGTGGTTAGCATTTATTTAAGTCTGAAAACATTTATTGGTTTGATATCTGATTGTCTATTCATTACCATTTGGATGTATGTATGTGTATCTATCGGTGTCTATGTGTATGTAGAGTGTATTCACATTTAACTGTGTGTGTGTATAAGTGTTGGTTTCACGTCTCCTTTTTTTCATAAAGGGCTGTAGAGATGTTCATATATATATATTCCCCCCCCTTTTTTTTTTTTTTTTTTTGTGTGTGTGTATATATCTAATTATGTCTGGATGCTTATGTATTATAATCTGATTGTGTTTTTGTTGTTTTGCGCGTGAGTTTAAGACCAAATTCACAAACTTTAAAATAAAAAAAAAAAGGAAAAAAGGGGAAAAGAAAAAAATATATATACATGTATTGTCAAATGACCGGATATATTGTAGCGTCTTGTCGAACGTAATTTCAATGAAGAAATGAATTGAATAAACATATATATTTTTTCTTTTCTCAATAATTTTGTAGTTTTTAAACTTAATAGTGATTAAATTTGGATTTTAAAATTGCCAGTTTTTAATTTTAATATTAAATTTTATCATATAATTTTATAATTATTGGTTAGTATAAATTATTTTTAATATTACACGTATTTTAAAGATCTGAATAGCTATTATAACATGATTTCGTTGTCAAGCTTTTGAATCTTTCTATACTTCGTTTTTGATTGGTTATTCTAGCTTTTGTAACAATGTTTCCCCCTAGTGTAGGATCGTTAATTAATCTGAAACTTTTAAAACCATTTATTTTATTTTCAACATCATCACTTGATAAGACACAGAGTGTGTTGAAACAAAATGGCTATTTTGTAGTGATTTTATAACATACTTATGTTATAATTTTTTTATAAAAAAAATTATATATATATATATATATATATATATATATATATAATTACCAAATAATGGATTTCTCTGTATCCTTGGCAAAGCGAATTATGATTTTTACTGCGCCTTTAAAACCCAGTAATTTTAAATTTTACTCCAAAATTTGCTTGAGGGTGAAATGGAACTCATGTCTTTAATTCAATTACAAAATTAAATTCGAAGCTTTTACCGTCCATTTTTGAAACATGGTTAGAACTGTTTAAAGCGAAAAAACATATTTTAAATCAATTAATTTATAGTATTAATAAATATAAATTTACATTGAGCACTATTTTGTAAAAATAAAAATATCTATAAGAACACCTGAATTATATATCTTACTGTTCTTTTTTTATATATATATATATATATATATATATATATATATATATATATATATATAAGATGACAATGAATTGTGCATGAAAGAAAAACGTTCTAATGGAATTTAATTTAATAGTGAAACAATACAAATTGCAGCAAAATTTTTGAATATTTATGTCGAAATGTTTTTGATTTAATATTTTAAAATAAACAATTTTATATATATTCTTTTTATAGGGTATTTTAATAAATGCCATTTATGTAAGAAAATGATGTATTTTTTTTTAATTAAACACTATTAGTTACAGGTCTGAATGTTCGAGAAATTTCGTAAAAAATACGCGTTCTCTAACAAGAATTGAACCTGTGTTCTATACGGAACTAACTCTTGATCCGATGTGTTAAGCCACTTAGCTATAAAGAAGCATATTGATAGCAACTTTCAAATTAATGCTTATAAAGTACAAATCTTCGACGATATTTCCTGAATCTATCCTATGTGCTCAAGAAATATATCATAACGTAATCAGTGAAAACATAGTATGTAATGGATTACGTCTGACAATTATTTAATATATTTTTGTTCATATATTATTTTAATAAATAAAAAATTATTCATGTATATGGTCTGTTTTGAGGAATTTTGTAAAAATATTCGTTCTCAATCATTCTCGAACATTCAGACAAGTAAAGGTAATTAATACTTTTTAATTAAAAAAAACATCCATTTACTTAAAATGCATCTGTTAAAATAACGTATAAAAATATATATATATATATATATATATATATATATATATATATATATATATATATATATATATATATATATATATATATATATATATATATTATATTGTGTGTCTATTTGACCACTGCTCAAGGATATTTTTAAAAATTATCTTAGGAGTTATATACAGCTGACATTTTTGATATTTTTACATTACATTATTCCGTTACTTCACTTTCACATTATCTCTCAACCAATCCCCCAAATTTAAGGACTTCATTCACGCAGATTTATTTCATATCATTCAATTCTACGGTCTGCATCTCGCTTTCCGGTATGCTTTTAATATTTTATCTCTTTTCCCAATTTTATTGCCAACCTTTTCTCAGTTTCTCTAAATCTCATCGTTTTCTCTATTTCCACGTTCGAAATCTCGGCGTCACTTTGACAGCGAGTTATTATTCCACAAAAGGGAATCTTGTTTCTTTATCATAAATATTATCTCTGCATTTCTGATGGTTTTCTACCCATATCCACTCGGCACTCATTTAACACTCCCATTACTCTCATTCCCACTCTTTACGTCAGCTTCTTCCTCTCTATCCAGGATGCAACGTTCACATCTGTTTATGCAAACAGAATTACCTAATGCCGATGGCTTTTGAAAGATCAGAACGATCCAAATGAGCCGCGCGATTAATCGACTAGATGTTATTCTTGCCTGTTTGGTAGATGCGATTTTGCTTCCCGTTCATTCAGTTGGCAGCCTAGAGCTGAACTTTGCACGCATTTCTGGGCAAAGCTCAACAAATAATACCAGAGAACATATACAAATTACACACACATACACGAAATAATGCATCATACTAGCAAGAATATGCTTTCACAACTAGATTCTCATCTCGCATACTCATTATTATAAATATATACATTTAGAAAGTCACATATATTAATACAAATTTCGTTAAGAAGTACATATCAGATTTTTTTTAAAAATTTTATTTAATGAGCATATAACCATTTAAAAACACACAAATACATATAGATATATCCTCGATTTTCCGGCACCCTTGGTTCTAGATATATTTACCCGCGTTCTCCACCAAGGCAGGATGTGACAAAGCGTCGTTTTAACGTCGGGAGTGTCTTACGCATAATTATGCATATGGGCGATGGAAAACATCTTGTTTTGCCCAAACCCCGCGACTAGTGTCATGCTGACATCGGTATTACTCCGACCCGACCAGTGCAATGAAGGAGTCGATACCGCAGTGTTGCAATCCCCTCAGCTAAATTCTCCCAACTAAAATGAGGAAAATCATAACTCCACTTACAGTACAAGGGGCGTTAGCCACACCTCATTAAGCCCACATTGGCAATGATTAACTCCTGTACCTTGGTTTCAGACCTGTGCCGGAACAACAGGAAACACGTAATAAAAAAAAACTATTCAATAATATATTGCTGGAACATTTTTATTCATCGCATGCATTTCTCCATAATCAACTGTTAATAAACTACTGACTTACGGCCATATCACCTTGATACACCTGTTCTCACCCGATCACCGAAGTTAAGCAACTTTGAACCTGGTTACTACCTAAATGCGCGACAACTGGGGAATAGCAGTTGCTGTAAGCTAGGATATGCGGAAGGTATAATGGATAAAAGATCGGAATGAAAAACTGGAGAGTCGAGTTCGAATTACAATCGATTTTGTTATGTTCACTTACGTACAAATACCTTTAGATAAGGTATGAATACATTTATTCTCCTATCTGTGAGGAAAAAAAGTTGTTTCAAAGATATCATTATATTAAAAAAAATCTTAAAATGCAAAACTATTGTACGGCTTTAAATAACCTCAGATGAGTTAATGAGTCATAATAAAATCTACTAATTAATCAATTAAACTAATATTAAATGAAATGCCACATTCGACCAACCGGCGAATTAATTTATCAAACTCCTGAAATCCAAATTTTGCTCTTTAATTGTCCGGATTAAAGACACATGTTCAATAGTTTCCGGAAAATCAGAAGTGCATTTGTATATATTTCGTTTAAAAAAAAAAATTGCAAATGATGATCTTTATTTTTATATGTAAAAATTTATTTGTTTTTATTGTGTTTTCGTTCTAATAAATAAGAAATATTGTACAAGTTTAAGTGCTCGCATTTTCAAAGAATATTTCTGCTCACTTTCATAATATGAGATTAATGGGAACTTGCGTCCATTCCATATTGAATATTTAAAAATATATATCTAGGCGTGACCGTCATATTTTCTGTTGGCTTCGAGAGCAAATAAGGACGGTCAATATATGTTTTTCAATGTAAAATATTTTCTTGATTATTAAATACATACATACAAAACCGCTGTCTTAACACTGATAGACCGTTTACTATTTGATAATCTGATATTATGGTGAAAGTCTGAAATATTTGGAGACAGATATAATCGACATAACTATGCGGAATTGAAATCTCTTTTACAACCTCGATAAGTTTATTGGTGACGACGCGGAGGGCCCCTTGTGTCGTTAGGTTGAACTATGGGCTAAAATAAATTTTGTGGACACTGCGTGCGAATTTTATACTTGCGTGTATTATAAAATAAATACTGTCCATGAATGTTAGTAAATGCAAACGAAATGCACACAAACATATAGATACGGAAATTAATTATAATGGTGAGAGTGAATGACAACAAAATTACTATTACACTCAGCTGAATATTTTATTAAATATTTTTCTTAAAAGTTTTTTTTTTCTCCAGGAAAATAAATTTATGTCTATTGTAATCGCTATTTCCAGTATTGATTTGGTTTCTCTCGGTAAAATTTTATTGAAAGTCGTATCGAAAATCAGCATGTTGTGATGTAATGGAATAACCTACCATCTCCATGAGTAGCCGCACTATAGGCGGTAATCACCTATAAGTATCCGTTAGAACAGTGGACAGGGGAGTCGAGCTGGGATCTTTCCCAGCTGCGCTAGTCGAACTCTCTGCCTTCGGGCAGAGAGGAACCCGGACGAGGCTATGCCGAAGGGCAGAGTTTCGCCCGGGGAGATAGACGGACCCGACCCCGTTTATGCGGGGTCTACGGGTATTTTTTGGCCGAGCCTACGGGCTCGGGAACCCCACTTAAAATTCGGCCTTGTGCCACATGTGACTGCGTGGGGCAGTTACTAAATACCGTCGAGCTGGGATCTTTCCCAGATGCGCTAGTCGAACTCTCTGCCCCTTTTTTTGGCCGTGCCTCCGGGCTCGGGAACCCCACTTTAAACTCGGCCTTGTGCCACATGTGACTGCGTGGGGGATTTACTAAATAGCGTCGAGCTGCGATCTTTCCCAGCTTCGCTAGTCGAACTCTCTGCGTTCGGGCAGAGAGGAACCCGGACGAGGCTATGCCGAAGGGTAGAGTTTCGTCCGGTGAGGTAGACAGACCCGATCCCGTTGATGCGAAGTCTATGGGGATTTTTTGGCTGAGCCTACGGGCTCGGGAAACCCACATTAAATTCGGCCTTGTGCCATATGTGACTGCATGGGGCAGTTAATAATAGCGCTGGGCTGGGATCTTCGAGAACTATCGGCATTCCGATAGCAGCCCGCACACAAATGTACTGACTTGCGACGACCGTGCGCATAACTAGTACTTCCTTCCTTCTTGTATTAGTTTCTACAATAAACCTGTTATTATTTATCCACCGTGTTTGTCCATTCCATATTCCTATTAGCACGGAATATAACATATTGATCTTGTTATTATTTCCACTTGGCCTATTCAGTTTTGTCACTGCTGCTCTCGAAGATACGGGGTGTTATGGGTAAATTTTCATCACTTTTGAGTTTAATTTCACGCATGCACGGTGTTTTCATTTTTGTCACCCGCCCAGTTTAGTAGGTATGTGTGACATAGAGCGCCGTAACGTAATTCCCTTTGCCAGAAACTTGGAAACGACATACTCTACTGCTTGGCATTTGTACCGGAAGCTCCAATACGAATATTTCAGAATGGTTGGGTGTCAGTTTGAAGACAGTTTAGGAGATTCAGAAAGAGTTGGATTAGTCTAATAGTGATCACGAAGGTACGGCAGCTCAGAAAATTCGCTCTCGTGGATTTAAATACGCATGCGCATGACGGAGATATGAGTCTGACATTTTAACATTTTAAATTTAATTTTATTTAATGTTTTTGGGTTATATCGTCTAACGAATTTTATTTATTTTTTATTTCTCCTATATGTGTCGCTATTGTTTTTCGGTATTCCACACTTTGCTAAGAAACGTGAAATATTTTAAGAATCATGACGCAAATTTACTCAAACACATATTAAAAAAAAATCAAATCCGATGGAGTTGGATGTATCACCAAGACACTAAACAATGTATTAAGAGATATTAACATTTCACCAGAAACAATGAAAAAATCGGTGAACTGTTATTTTATAACAATATTCTTCAACATGGAAGTTTCACGGAAAATGGAAACTGTTTAGGAATTTTTCTGCTACGTAATATAGAAATATATCTTGGAAAAAATAATAGTCACAAGTCTCACTGAATTCAGAGAAAACAGATGGGTGAAGCAATTGAATTAACTGACGAGTTCGTATATATGGATTGTTGACTTGGATAAAGAAGCATTATGAAAAAGAAAATTAAAAATTGCTTAGAAGTATAATGACGTCTTGGAGAAGCGTTATTGCAGTTTATATATATGAGTTTTGCCATTACGAAAATTTGAAACTTTGGATTAGCATACCCTATATTCAAAAGATATAATTTCTATTTAAAAACATTTTTTAATCTTTTAAAGGAAACGCTTTTTCTTCGAAAGTTGAAAGATCGCCAAGTTCCTTTTCATCAGAAGGAAAAGACGATTTAATTTTATTGCTGTCAAATTGTAAGGAACATATTTGACGAATGTTATCAGTATTTTACGTGCTACCATATAATTTATTACAGGAAAGAAAAATAAATCTTGCAAGGTTTTGCCTCATGCACCAAATATTAGTAATGGAAAAATTTCGTAAATTTTATAAGAAATCCTCTTCTTGTTTTTCAGAATTATATTCCAATCAGTTTTTCGGTGGATTAAATTCACGTTTTCAGGATATCTGTGACAATTCAAAAAAAAATGTGATTAAGGATAGACATAAATAAATATATTTTTTTTCTCTTTTTTGAAGAAACATTTCACGATTCTATATTTACTATTAAAAAAAATTAACTAGTAATCTGTGTCGTCATTTCATTTTTCATTATGTGACCGAATGTTTACAAGATTAGCATCTATGGAACTCAGGTTCCAATCTTCCCTCAGTGGAATCATTAGAGTTCACTTCATGATAATAACGGCTTATTGAAAATGTATCGGTTTCTATTACCGCCGAGAATTGTCTGAAAAAAAAGCCATGCCTTTATCCAAGCCTTGAAAGCGAACCTGATTAGACAGAACATTTCAAAATACATTGATAATTGCGCTAACCGTGACCGACAGTTTCAGTATACTAGTCATATACACTGACCGAGGATTGAACAATTAATATTTCACAAAATTCCCGAACAAACGATTTAATCCACTAGGTTTAATTCTCACCTAGTGAAATTAGAGCCTTAATCGTAACCTGTCTGTTGATTAGTGCTGTTACTCCAACTACATGTCCTGTTGAACTGAGGTTGTTGCTGCTGTTGAAAACTTGGGATCATTTTTCTTTCTTTCTATTATGGAGTCAATTATTACAATATGGAGTCTATTATAATAGTCAATTATTACAATATGGAGTCTATTAAATAGACTCCATATTGTATTTATGTATATGTTATGACCGCTAAGAAGGTCCTCATAACGGTGCATAGGCGCTGATTCTTTCAGCCTCCTAATTCTTCCTTGTCCAGAATTTCCATTTCTTTCCACAGTGAGCTGATGTCTACACCTATCTTTACGTATATGATCGACCATGCCCGATTTACTAATTGGGCCTGGCGTTTGTTCGGAAATTTGGATATATAGTAATTGTGTGCCAAGTAATATGTACTTGTATACAGATGAAACTAGGCTAGAAATAAATGAGGTGTACTAAAAATAAGAATTAAACGAGGTAACCCAAGACATGGGCAGTGGAACGAGAACAGTCTACCCTGTATATTATATAAATAAAGGGTTCTGTTTGAATGTACTTAGGGTAAAAAATGATAACTCACCATTCCGATTTTTTTTTTATTTAAAAAAAGCGCTAATATCTCCAATTGGCGTTCATTACATATTAAACGTATAACATACGGACGCAACTTTTAAATGATCTTCTACGTACCGTTGGAAAACTTTCCACAATTTCGTATCCTTTGTAAGACTTAGCGATATTTGGCTCTTTTCTAAGCTTCCCGTTCCTATCAATTCACTCAAGCTTATCAGGTAGATGCTCCGCTAAATTCCTCTGATACATCTTTCTCTGGATATGCCCTCTGAGTGTTACATTCTAGAAACCTACCTTCCTCATTATAAATTTAAGCTTGTTTTTTTCTGATGCTGAGTATAAGTGTCCTTTTTCATTCTTTTTTCATCCAGACTTCTTTGTTGCTTACGCATTTCGACCATTGAATACTCAACACCCTTAATTCGAACCGCATTTA